TGCTCCGATGACCCAGCTGGGTTCTGGTTGCTAATGCCCATATTACGCCCACCGCAGCACCTCTGTCGTCCCTTTGCAGCACCCCGGTCTAATAAAATGCACCCGATCTCTACCCTCTCACGGTATCTCTGCCAGAAGGATTTGTGCCAAAAGCTGAAAACTTCTTGGAGAGTTTCTATTACTGCTGCTACCTCAGCATTTCTAGCGATACGATCCAAGCTACTGCCTGAAAAGTGTACTTTCAGAATCGATAACCTCCGTCCTCGTACTCAATACAATGTCACTGTACAAGCTGCCACCAACAAGGAGCTATGCGGGGTGAGTTGGAGCCGTTTCTCCTCCCCATCCATCTCCAGAGCCCATAGTTGAACATTGTTTTCAGGGCACACAGGTGACTATGTGGACGGACGCAGCCCCATTGACAGCTTTGGCTGGTGCACCACGGGTTATCGCAGAAGAAGCCACGTCCGTTACCATCGAATGGGACAGCAGAAATCGTGAAGCTGGAAGCTTCATCGTGGAGTATAAGTGAGTTTGACTTGAACAAACTCTTTCAGGAGACTCTTTGAGAAAGTGGGTTTTGCAGACTTGAAGGAAGCGCTTGGCAACAGCATCCGCGCCGCATTCCTGCACATCCTGCACAGACGACATACACGGCTACCGTTGACGGTCTCCCTACCAACAATGTGGTTGACCTTCGTGTTCGGGTCGTGTCACCGCAGAACGAGCAGTCCAATCCGTCGCCGGAAGTCCGTGCTCGTACCAAGTGTAGTCCTCCTCCTAACCCACCACAGGTACTCCCCACTCATGTTTATGCGCTCAAACCAAGAAACTTACTGTTCTAGGGAGTTCGAGTGGATGCTCCTTCGACCAACGACGTTCGAGGTCTCGTGGTCTCGTCCAGCCAAGGACACTTGGATGTGCGACCAGATGAATGTTGAGATCAGCTATCGAATTGGAAATGAGCCTGAGAAGGTTGTTTCACTGGGACCAGCTCGTGCTTCTTTCCTGCTCTATGTACATCTTCCAGATTCTGCCCGTGCCAGGAGATCAGACCGAGTACACCTTCCCAGCGGAGCCCAATCCAACGTTGGGTAATCAAACTACGAGCAACCAATCAAGTTGGGTCCAGGTGAGAGATTGTTCCTTAACGAGCAGGTCTTCCATTTTTACAACTGAAGAGTTTCTATTTTTCAGTCGCTGGTCATCCGAACAGACAGTGACCACCCGCCAAGGAGCTCCTGGAGCAGTGCGTGATCTCAGGGTCAAGGCACTGTCACCAAATGAGGTCCATGTACAGTGGCTGGCACCGCTCGTTCAGCGAGGCACTATCGTTGGCTACGATATCAGCTACAGGTACCGCTAGTGCTTTAGAAGAACTTTGCAGGACTACTAGTACCACATTCAGGTTGAAACATCGTCTTGCTTGTCCAGAAGAAGAGCCTAGAGATGTGTCACGCGATTTTGTTACCGTCTACAATCACAAGGATCTTGACTACACCATCACAGGACTGCTTACCGCCCCCCCCCCCCCCCCCCCCCGTATCCCTCGTATGAAATGTGGTACAGAGTTTCTTGATGAAGTCGTATAGTTAGTACCGCTGCCTTTGACGTGAGCAGTAAGTTCTTGTTCAGGGTGCGAGTTTAGAGCTCGTTACACGGAACTTAGGTTCCTGAGGAGATGAAGAGGTCTCGACGGAACAGCACCCATCGTACCATGCCGCTCAATCTCCGAGCTTACTTAATGCCTTCGAAAGATCCCTCTCCTTCCGCGTGGGAACCAGTCGACTGCTTCGCAACGTCACGGACACAGGTGAGTCAATTCATGAGTACGCAAGATTCTTCGCAGGTAAGGATAGAGACGTTATGCTATGCTATTATAAGGTTCAGGAAGTCAAGATGTATACAGTACCCCAGAAAATTACGCGTGAAATTGAATGTGTCGGACCGTGAATGCACACAACGAGGCATATAATGGGACTGCAGCGCGAGTTCAGTCTCGGCGTGCATGATATGGTATCCCAATTCGTACATGAAGGCACCTGCCGGGGCTAGGTAGGTCCCTCACCGGGTGGTGGCCCCACTCCCGGAGCCTCCTCCCTTCCATTGCGGTATGCTCGATTGTGTGCGTTCACGGCGCGACATATTTGATTTCACGCGCAATTTCCGGGATTGCTGTATGCACCCTGACCTCTTGCCTCACTGATAGGATTTCACGAAGTTTTCAGGATGACTGGGCGAAATTGGAGCGACAAATTGCCAACACTTCCGAGACAAGGATTACCGTCGATGGCTTGACACCGTTCACTAAATACGTGATGCGTGTGAGAGCCTACAACAGCATCGGTGGAGGTCAGTAAGGAAGTCATCGCCTACCTCCTGAGTATTCAAATTGTCTCTTTTCAGGTCCGAATACGGAAAATCTCGACGTGATGACAGCCAAGGCTAGTGCACCACTTCCACCCCAGGATCTCGTCGTCGCTCAAGAAGGAATTGACTTCTTCATGGTAAGGGATCCGCTGCGTTCCCCGGCTGCGTTCATACTTTGCGGCAGGCAGAGTCGACCAACGTCCACTAGGAAAGAGTAGATATGATCTAGGGTCTGCCAGCGTGTGCCGGCGTCCACCGACA